CTGTGTGAACGTCCCCGCTCCTAAACCATCTGTCCTCCTCGGCTTTTTCGCTTCCTATTGAGTTCGGCTTGGGCCTTTGGATCGACAAGCTCTAAGCCCTTGGACTGGGGTAAAAGGCAATCGAGCTAGCTATTCCCAGTACCAGCGCCGAGTGATGGTCCCAACACCCAGCAGTACGGAGTCCCTGTGCTCGCAATACTGTTGCATTTCCGGCTTGTCCAAAGCCTCGAAGCGATGAAGCAGTTCCACCGATTGGCGTTGCAGCTCCCCATCCCTTATTGGATTTACTGAGCTTAGCCTTGGTTCTTTGGTCGATTTGGCTCGCACGTATCCGGCCATGATCCTCTTGACCAAGCATACCCAACCCTTTCGTACCCTCTCCAGTACCGTATCCGATTTCCTTTTCTTCCTTTCCAAACGCCAAACGATTCTGTGCTTTGCGGATATCTGTCATCGCTGTCGCTTCTTTCGCCTTTCGCGCTCTTCGTCCACCCCGTTTTCTAGACGGTTTATCATCAGGCGCAGGTAAGGCACGTGGTCCCTTATTTGGAGCGGGCTCGGTCAGTTTCTCAAGACGATCCAAGCAGGCTTGTTTCAGTTCTTCACCCGTGGATCCATCCGGGCTGCTATGCACTCGGTCGACTCTAGCCGCCAAAACCACTTTTGCCGACACGATACGCATCGCTTGCCGCTTCAGGTCGTTTGGGATTTCCTGAATGATCGGTGAGTGGTACAAGAATCCTTGGTGTCTCACCCCAACATTAGTTGCAAAGCCGGTGCCTGTTTGCTTTTTTGATCCCAATGGCGGGATATTACAGGAAGGGGTCTTCGCTAACCCTGTAAGACCTCCAGCATAGTTTAGAAGTTGTGCAGCAGTTAGTGATCCAATGAGAACCGTTAGATTCGGTGCAAAGACATTCATTCGCGATTGTACATAGTCGGTAAGGATCCCTTTAGCTCGATCAAGTGATAGCATCATTTTGCATGCGTCTAGGACAGTCTTGAGTTCTGATGGGGACAACTCCCGGCCTCGAGTTGTTGTTCCCTCCACTGCGACGATCATTAAAGAAGGTCCATCAAGAACGGATCTCAGAGTCGCGCCAACCAGATTATCCGTTGAGGTTGACAAAGACTTGATATCGTCAAGGGGCCCATTCTGTAAAATTGCAACAGTCTTGGCGTAGTCCAGAGGGTTTGTGATAAGAGTTTCCAGCTCCGGAAATCTAGTAGAATAGTGATCTCGGATGAACTTGTGGTCGGATGAACTTGTGGACAAGAATTATCTCGTTATCGATCGAAGTTGAAAGAGAGTTCGCTTCAGTAAGTAGATGGTACTCTGGATTATCTTCGATTGAGCCGATAGACGTCGTTCTTTTCTCCGATGGAAGGGATTGGTAATAAGATACTTTCTGTCGAGGGCAAAGCGAAAAGGTCAGGTCTGTTTGTCCATATCATCCAATGTAAACACAGGTATCGCAGAAGACGGAACATATGAGGGTCAAGAGAATCTGGACTTACATCTAAAATCGGTTGGAGCGTTTTCATTAAGCTCGCCACGCTTCGTACATCGCTCACAGTCCCGAACCGCATTTTCTCGACCCTCGCCTTGGTAGCGTCCGCTTCTCCCATCTCTTTGTCTAATTTCCCGGTTGGGTCCATGGCGATATCCGCATCTGCGTCATCATCGTTCACTTCTTCTTCGTCTCCGTCAAGCTCCATCCCTTCGCCTCGAACTTTAGCAGAGCCATCAGCATCAGATTCCGCAGCTTTGTCGGGGAACAAGGTGTTGGCGAGTGTGCTCTCATCCTCAGAGCCAGACTCCTCAAAATCGTTCAATAGCTCGTCTGCTAAAGTCGCCATGGTGGCCTTGAGCTAGGACGAGTCTAAAAGCCAACAAAATATTAAACGGAAAGCGGTTGTGTTTGCCTGTGCATACACATGGACGAGGTGTTGAGAGTGAGCTTGGTTGTTGCTCAAAACATTAGCTACAGCCACAAGATCATGTGACCTGTTCAAACCATGATCAGGATCTTTCCACGCAAACAGTTCACTCGCTTTTCGCAACAGCCAAATTCAATAGCAACAAAGGGCTGTCGACCTGTGCGTATTCTCCTTATATCGGAGCGTCTCGCCGAGGTAAATCTTGCCCAGCCGTGTTGTTCAGCGACCCTTGCCGCTGTCCCCAAAATTTCTACCATCTTTCCTACCTCCTGAGTTCATTCAACCACCATCAATCCAAAATGGAGGCTTCAAGAGGACCTCCGCGGGTCAAAAACAAGGCGCCGGCTCCACAGCAGATATCTGCTGAGCAGCTCCTCCGTGAAGCTGTTGACCGTCAAGAACCCGCGCTCCAAGCCCCTACACAGCGGTTCGCCGATCTTGAAGAGCTCCATGAATACCAAGGCCGGAAACGCAAAGAATTTGAGGACTACGTGCGGCGGAACCGCATTAGCATGAACAACTGGATGCGATATGCACAATGGGAATTGGAACAGAAGGAATTCCGCCGTGCGAGGTCGGTGTTCGAGAGGGCATTGGACGTTGACCCTACATCTGTGGTATTATGGATTCGCTATATTGAAGCAGAGATAAAGACAAGGAATATCAATCATGCGCGGAACCTGCTTGACCGCGCTGTGACGATTCTTCCCCGTGTGGATAAACTGTGGTATAAATATGTTTATATGGAAGAAATGTTTGGGTAACATCGCAGGGACACGT